CCCACCGCGAGCACAAAAATTGCGTTACTTTCGTATCGAAGTCGGAACAAAAACTTCTATAGAGATTGATAGTCTCTTCAGTGTCGTACGAATTTAATTTCTCCGTTTTTCAAAAAGATGGAAGAAGTGACTTCGGTGAGATCATTTTTACGGCAAACTTTCGGCTCTAAGAGTTGCAATAATTAACGGAACTTTTCAACCATAAAAACGTTTTTTTTTGTGTTGAGTATAAAAATAAACAGAAGTTTTACTGACCACCACTATTTGAATATAATAACTTGAAGCTTTTTCAGCCATTTGCGTCAAACTGAAACTTGTTGAGTGGTCTTCCTTAGGTCATTTATGCATTTCGAATCTCGTTGAAAACAATTTTAACAATAGCTTTTTGAACCGCAGCCAGTGCTTTTCAATTGCGGTATCTCGATCTTTAACTTCAATGAAATCATGTCATAAGACCTTCAAAACCTTGTCTGGAACCTTTAGCAGGAAGCATGTCAACAATTGAGACAAAAGCTGTGAAAACGGAGATTACTTGGACAATGATTGGGCTCACAATTGGTATTGCAGTTAACAATTCTACCGAAAGAAATTCTTAAAAGGTAACAAAATTTGGAGATGCCAATACATTTAAAAAGAAATTTTGCGTTCCAGAAAAATTTGGAATTATCATTGTCATTTTCAATGATAATTCCAAGTTTTACTGGAACGCAACAAAATTATAGTTTTCTGATGTATTAGCGTGCTTAGTTTCGTTACTTTTTAATAATTTCATTCAAATTTTTCTAGGTGTTCCAAGACATAGCGAAAAATAAAACAATACCCGCTCTCATCAAGGCAACAGTTTTGTCATTTTTGCTTAAAAAGTAAAAAAAACTAGGAAAAAATTGTTATCTTATCCTCCAGATAATTTGTGATGAGCAAACTGATATTCTTCTTGTCTGGTAGCGTTGAAATAAGACCAAACTACAGGTATCATTTTAGTTTTAAATGATTTAATTGGCCTCTTACGTGTTATTTGGACAGAAAAAATCGCGCGGTACTTATCCGAGTTCAATTTATTTTCATCAAAGTAATCTCGAAGTCAAACCGTTATAACTGTGCGAAAAAAGACAACCGGTTAATATCTTTTGAGCCTTGGTTTATTTTGAGCCCTGGGCATCAACATCTTTCCGACTGCACAACAAAATCAAGATAAAATTGTTAAGTACGTTCAAAATTTGTCAGGAAAACAAACCAACCGGAGCACAATTTTTCTATCACATTCTTTGAATGTTGGAACGATGAACAACTACTCTCAACAGGGGGAAAAACTCGATCGATTCGACTGCCCCTTATATTCTACGACGTTGATTTCATTTTTCAAAATTGTGGACGATTGATTTTTGCAGAAAAAAGGAGAATAGATACTGTTCCAATTCGAATGAATTGAACAAATGAGAACTATTGAACCAGTAAAATGAACCAAAAACATAAATATTTTCTATATCAATTTTCGACTCCAATGAAAATTCAGACAAATATATTTTGCACAGAAAGCTTTGTAAATTTTATTCTAAAAATATTGACTTGTTCTAATTTAAAACAAATTCATCGAGAGAGTTGTAATAACTTTAAAACTTCTTTGTAAAATATTGAACGCAGTACAGTGCTGATTTAAATTATCCGGACAAAACGAACATAACTTGAATTTTCAAACGCGTTTTTCTCAAATTGGGTTAAGATTAGACAAAAAGTGAAGGGAACAAAAGTTTCTTAGAATTTCACCAGAATTAAAATGGTGCCATTTTTTCTCCGAAATTCTTAACAAACATTTTACCCCAAAAATGGGTCAATTTGGCTTTTTTCAATTAATCAAAAATTACGCTGAAACTACTTTGTTAATTGATACAAAAATTATATCACAGGAAGCCTCTTACGCCGCTCAACAAAGTTCCGAAATATCGCGCGTTAATTGTCCCAAATTGGCCAAAATGGCAATCTTTAAACCCCCGTAACTTTACCAAAAATGATCACAGGTGAAATATCTTTTCAAATTTGAGCTCAGGACAACAATACTTTTTGAATGATATAAAAAATTCCGTCAAAAAGTGCTAGTTAAAAATGGCTAGTTAATTTGTCTGAAGAAAAAAAACCCTCCCGAGCACAAATATTCCGTTACTTTCGTATCGAAAGTCGGAACAACAAGACTGCTCGTACCAGGGCAAAGCCCTGAATGTTCCGCCTGTCTTTTAAGTTTAATGGAGCAGTAATAACATAAATATCATAAGCAAATTAAATGTAATAAAAAAACGATTTTTTTTTTCTAAAAGTTGAATATTTTTCTATAAAAATCATCCCCCACACGCCATATAAAGCACAAAAGAATAAATTTTGCTCCTTGTAAGAAATCAATTATGACAAATGAGCTTCTTTCAACGACTTTGAAACAATTTTTCAGACGGACTCAATCTCCGCTTACGCGTTAACAGCGCCAAATATATCGCGCGTTAATTGTCCCAAATTGGGCAAAATGGCAATCTTTAAATCCTCTTGCTTAACAAAAAATGATCACATATAAAAAAAAATTCAAAATATAGCTCAGAACAACAATAGCTTTCGATTGATATCAAAAAATTTCATCAAAAATGGCTAGTTAAAAAGTCGAAATTTGTCTGAAGAAAAAAAAACCCACCCCGAGCACAAACATTCCGCTACTTTCGTATCGAAAGTCGGAACAACAATAAATAAAATCAAGGCACCACAAAACTGTAAGCATAAACGGATGAAATATAAAGAAAAGTTGAAATTTTTTTTTTTCCGACTCTAAGAGAAAGGGAAGAAATATTTGTGCTCAGCGTGGTTTTTCCTTTAGACAAATGAGTTCAAAATGCAAAATGATATCATTTTTAATTAGTACCAGGTTTTTTGAGACTAAAATGACGGAGCGACTATGACACAGAGACCCTTTGGTTTTTTATTTGTAGAGAGACCCAGTTTGACATTGGAAAGGAAAACATTTTTTGCACAAAGTATGCAAAGCTTCTTACTTATGCAAGTTTAAGCACAACTACCGAATGCTGAATATTTGTAAGTGCATTTTAATACTCATAGAGGGATTCCACTACACAAAATTTAAAGTGATCAGTTATCATTTTGTAGACTCGTTACAAGATTTCAGCGGAGCCCGCGGTTTTGTCACAAGGGAAACAAGTTCGGGAAAATAGCTAGTAATGGATGTCCAGTTTTGATGGCCAGACCAAAGGAACAAAACTGGAAATTAAACTTGTTGCTTTGGATTAGTTTTAGACAAAAATGATGTAGACAAATGTCGACTTTGCAACTTTTTGCAGTCTGGGGCCTAAATTTTGCCCTCAAAATGGATCATTGTTCCGACTTTCGATACGAAAGTAACGGAATATTTGTGCTCGGGGTGGGTATTTTTTCTTCAGACAAATTTCGACTTTTAAACTAGCCAATTTTGACGGAATTCGAAAGCAATTGTTGTCCTGAGCTTAAATTTGAAAAGATCTTTGACCTGTGATGATTTTTCGTAAAGTTATGAGGGTTTAAAGATTACCATTTTGGCCAATTTGGGAAAATTAACGCGCGATATATTTCGCGCTATTAACGCGTAAGTGAGATTTAATCCGTCTTAGAAATTGTTCCAAATTGGTTCAAGGAAGCTTATTTGCCATAATTGATTTGTTATTAGCAGCAAAATCTATCACTTCGTACTTAATATGGCGCGTGGGGGGATGTTTTCACAAAAATCAAAATTTCTTCAGAAAAAAAAATAATTTTACTTTTTTACATATAAATTTTACATGTTATTACTGCTCCATAGACCTTAAAAGGCAGTCGGAACATTCAGGGCTTCGCGCTGATACGAGCAGTCTTGTTTTTCCGACTTTCAATACGAAAGTAACGGAATATTTGTGCTCAGGGTGGGTTTTTTTTTCTTCAGACAAATTTCGACTTTTTAACTAGCCATTTTAGACGGAAATTTTTTTTATATCATTCGAAAGGTATTGTTGTCCTGAGCTCATATTTGAAAAGTTTTTTTCACATGTGATCAATTTTGTAAAGTTAAGGGGGTTTAAAGATTGCCATTTTGGGCAATTGGGGACAATTAACGCGCGATATATTTCGCGCTATTAACGCGTAAGCTGATAGTTAATCCATCTTAGAGATCGTTCCAAATTAGTTTAAAAAAGGCTTATTTGCCATAATAGGTTTGTTAAAAGGAGCGAAATCTATCCTTTTGTACTTTATATGGCATGTAGGGAGATAATTTTCAAAAAAAAGTTTAAATTTTGCTGCCTCCTGATTGGTCGAAAATGCGTTATTTTAATCTACTTAACAATTGCCCCCCTTTATCAAGAGGGGGAGGGGGCAATTGTTAAGTAGATCTATATGCCTGAACATAAAACTATCCAACCTAGCAAAATGAATCGTCGGAATTCGGCAGTTTTCTGCTTCCTAAGGCTTCAATAACCTAAATATTCGTGAACTGAGGGAGGCTTCATAAAAAATGTGTTTTCAAAACACTTTATATATTGGTCGATACAACGGTTGCTAAATAAATTTTTGTAAAAAATTTTCAAAAATTGCCTAAAAAGCTTGAGGCTAAAAATTTGTATTTGGTTTTAACAATTATAGCTGTCAAAGTATATAGATTGATTTATAAATTGTTGTACCATTTAAATCTTCGAATGCATCATTCGTTAAAAGCATGATTAGACTTGATTAGCGCGTTAAAATCATGATTAGCGCTTTTTAAACAAACATTTTTCATATGGAATTGAGATTTTGCAGTATAATGAAGATTGGGATAAATTTGATATTCAAAGTCTTAAGACTTTCTGTATTTAAGATTTTCTTATTCAAAAATAATTACTGAACAAAGAAAGAAAACGCCAACGTAATGAACAAGTTGATAAAGTTTATCAATCAAATGCAAGACAATGAACAAAAGCTTTCAATTTTTGAACAAGAAGTTCAGCTAAAAATGTAGCCAAGACTTTTTATTATTATCTGAATGTTCAAATTTTGTCTACACGACGCTCTCACAGCTATTTTCTAATTTTATAACATTATTCTTCAGTTGAGTAACAAGCAGTTACGTTTTGTTGACCAATGAATTTTTAAAGCTCAACGTGTAAAAATTACAAATTTCTGACATGTCTGGAGTCAGTAGCCCTCCAGCGTCTGGAAGTGGCGCAACAGCTGACGTCATAACCCAGGCACCGGTGACTATTGGGGATCATGTGTGTTTCTACGCACCAGAAGCTCTTGGATATCTTTACAACAGACAGGCGGGGTAAGAATTGAATTTTTCATTCAAACAAGGTAGATTATTTGTGGAAAAACTGTCGGCAAAAATATGATCGAGCATTCTCACTTTTCTAGAAACTCAATCAGATTTTTGAAGATAGGGAATGCTAATAAGTCCAGGATTGATTGGTTAAATCTTTCTACTTTTGATGTGTTTGTGCCTTTTTTTCTTAGTTCAGACAATTTTTTACAAAGAAAATTTGGGGATCGTATGGATCAATTCGCGAAGTTTGGATTGCCATCAGGTGTGCTTTTCACGAACATAAACGCAGTTGGATGCAGGGGCGGATCTAGGATTTTCTCGAGAGGCGGACAATTCAAACATTTTTCGAAAACTTTGTCGACCTTTTTTTAGGTCGACCAAATTGATTTCCCGAGCTCTCCTAAAGCACTAAAAAGACGCTGTTTTGGCCAAACTTTTTAGGCACTTTTTGGAAAATTTTGACAAAAAATAGCGTTTTTTTTGGCGCACGCTCCCCTTCAAAGTTAGTATGTGTTGGTGCCCAAAGCACCTTCAGAAAAATTTTAGGGTCGGTCGGCCAAAAATGGATTTCTTAAAAAGTACCAAAAGTAGGACCCTTTGGGTCGGCAGGGGTAGAAACCCTGAGGGAAGAAGCGTCCGCCCCAAACCCCCCCGCCCCCCCCCCCCCTAAATCCGCCCCTGGTTGGTTGCCCAAGTAATGCATTAATAGTTTCAATGCGCTTATTATTTATGCGTTGCGCGATATCCTACGGTCGTAATTGTTCCAAAACAAAATGTGGTAAGCTGATTTTGACCAGATTTTAGCTTTTTGTTTTAAATATTGACAGTCCAAAATTTTGTGTTTATCAAGATTTTTTTACTGAATACAATCTGATACCATTTGAGGAGCACAATCGAAAGTTTCAGGGCTTTGCCTCATAGGCGAGTAGTATTGTTATTCTGATTTTTGAAGAAATGCGGAAGGCTTATGCTTGGGGTGGTTTTTTAAGTTCAGTGAAACTTCGGCAATCAAAATTATAGTTATCACCAAAAATTTCGTCTTCAACGTTTTGAAATATAAGTATTGCAACGTATCAGTATTATCACCTTTCAAGAAAGAGCCAAGCTATTCCACAAAGAGTTTTTTTTAATGTTTTCTCCTACAATAATATTTTTTTTAAATCAAGAGTAGCAATATGTCAGAGTGAACTTGAAATTTCTTGCTAAAAATTACTCTAATACTAAATTTGGTTGATGGTGATTATATAGTTGAAATAATAGTTTTGCTATGAAAGTTGTTCATGGCAAAAGTAATTGTATCAGAGTGAAAACCTGAGTGTTCCGATTACCCACTATTATCTACTCACACAGATATTTTTAATTTTTTACTAATCATCAGTTTTTTCTAAGATCTACTGTAATGAAACAATTATTGATCACAATCAAATCAAGGAAAGAGAGATAAAACTCTGATAAATAATTCTGATAAATTTTTCCTCCAGAACCTTTCGAAAATCACAGTTGGAAATAATGTGAATCGTATTAGTTAAGTTATCTACCACTTATTTCAGGACAATCGATGTTCTGTTAAGGTTTCGATTCATTTGATACTGAAATCTATCAATAAAAGCAACATACTAAAGATAACAAGACTGCTCGTATCAGGGCGAAGCCCTGAATGTTCCGACTGCCTTTTAAGGTTTATGGAGCAGCAGTAATAACATAAAAAAAATTGAATGATTTAAAATAAAATGAATTTTTTTTTCTAAAATTTGAAAATTTTTATAAAAATCATCCCCCCACCAGCCATATAAAGTATAAAAAGATAGATTTCGTTCCTTGTAACAAATCAGTTATGGCAAATTAGCTTCGTTCAATCAATTTGGAACGATTTATAAGACGGATTAAATCTCCGCTTACGCGTTAATAACGCGAATTATATCGCGCTTTAATTGTCCCAAATTGGTCAAAATGGCAATCTTTAAACCCTCATAACTTTACGAAAAATGATCTCAGGTGAAGTATCTTTTCAAATTTAAGCTCAGGACAACAATACCTTTTGAATGATGTAAAAAATTCCGTCAAAAATGGCTAGCTAAAAAGTCGAAATTTGTCTGAAGAAAAAAAACCCACCGCGAGCACAAATATTCCGTTACTTTTGTATCGAAAGTCGAAACAACAAGACTGTCCATATCGGGGCGAATCACCGGATGTTCCGACTGCCCGTCAAAGTTTTTGAAATAATTTTTCAAAAACATCAATCGAAACTATTTTATGAAACTTCAAAAAAAAATGAAAATTGTTGTTTTTAGCGTTGAGTTATGTAATAATTACTCCAAAAAATTCGCCTCTATTCAATTTCGAATGGTTTATTAGCGAATTAACAAGTCGCTTAAGCGTTAATAGCACGAAATATCTCGCCCGTAATGGTCCCAACTTAGCCAAATTGGCAATTTTGGAACCCCCTTACTTTTTGAGAATTGTTCACTGGTAAAATGTTTTCTGTTTATTGTTCCGACTTTCGATACGAAAGTAACGGAATACTTGAGCTCGGGGTGGGTTTTTTTTTCTTCAGACAAATTCCGACTTTTTAACTAGCCATTTTTGACGGAATTTTTTTATATCATTCGAAAGCTATTGTTGTCCTGAGCTTAAATTTGAAAAGATATTTCACCTGTGATCATTTTTCGTAAAGTTATGAGGGTTTAAAGATTGCCATTTTGGCCATTTTGACCAATTTGGGACAATTAACGCGCGATATAATTCGCGCTATTAATGCGTAAGCGGAGATTTAATCCGTCTTATAAATTGTTCCAAATTGGTTGAACGAAGCTTATTTGCCATAATTGATGTGTTACGAGGAACGAAAACTATCTTTTTGTACTTTATATGGCGTGTGGGGGGATGATTTTCAGAAAAAAAATTTCAAAATTTAGAAAAAAAATTCATTTTATTTTATTTCATATAATGTTTTTATGTTCCCGGGTTGACCAAAACTTCTTATCATACAATTTCCATATATGAGAAACTTCTTGTCATACAATTTCATACAATTCCATACGTACAAAAAATTGTATGAAAACTTTATGATAAGCATTTTTCCATATATGAAAATTGTATGATAGATGTTTTCCCATAAACAAAAAATTTTGAGTTTTTCTTTCTAAATTTAGTTTCTGAAAAATTTTCGGTTGTAGTTGCAACCGAACACAAGTGACAAAAACCTTGGTTACTCAAAACACCAAAGGTTGGACGGTCTTGCATTTACAATGCATAGAAAACGACCTGAATTTGGCTGTCTTTCACAATTGATATAACAAAAGTAACAAACTTTTATTTTTTGGCAAAATTTTTTAATGATGATTATATTAAATTTTTGAATTTTCAAATTATCAGACATTGATCAAGGCGTACATTAACACCCCATACAAAAGAAAGAGGAATTTTCAGCGTTTTTGAAAAAAAAATTAAGTGAAAAGAAAAAATTAAGCCAATTTTGTCGTACCCAGGACTACGTTATGCACACAAAATATTAAATTTTGCATGCAAAATTTTTTTTCGAAAATTGTTTGTTTGCGTAAGAAAATCGATTTGCGGTTGAAAAAAAAACAAACAATTTTTTGGGCTAAATTTTCAAAACTACTTGAAAAATTTTTTGTGTCGCCACCAAAAAAAATGCCAGTCATACAATTTCCATATATGGGAATTGTATGATAAGCATTTTTTTCAAAAACGAAAACCTCAGTTTTTTATCACCAGATTGTTTTATTAGAATCAAACAGCCACAGAAATGAGTTAATACCAGTTTTCAACCATTTTTAGAAATTGTATGAAAATTGTATGACAAGCATTTTCCCACACACTTGATGTATGGAATTGTATGATAAGCATTTTCGGTGTATGGAGGTCAACCCGGGTTTTTACTGCTGCTCCATAATAATTCAAAAGCAGTCGGAACATTCAGGGCTTCGCCCTGATACGAGCAGTCTTGTATAAGTTTGAGCTCAAGGCGTCAATATCTGTCTATAAAAAGACTTTATGCTATAAAAAGTTTCGTTCAAAATGGCTAATTAAAAATTCGCATAAAAACTAACACGAACAAATTTTGTTTTCACTTATTTCTTCGAAAATAGGAACAAAAACTTACAGACCAGTCGTTTGTGACACTGAGACAAGTTTTTTGATTTTTAAAAGCTGAATCACCGACCACTACTGGGATGTTTCATAAAACTACTGGGACGTTTCATGAAGACTTTTTTGGAGGTCCAATTCTTTTAAAATATTTTTCAGAATCCAGTTCAACACTCTGGCAGTGAGCAGAGACCCCGATCAAATCTACCCTAATTTACCAGATCCACATGGTAACGATTAAAGCCATTCTGCTTTACAATCATTCAAACAATTAGTTGTTCTCGTAATGAAATTGAATGTTGCGCTTGTCTTTCTCAGTGGCCGTGTTCAAAATATGCGTGGCCAACAGATACAAGCTTGACAAGCAGCTCCGTAAGCTACAAGAACAGATCAGGTCTGTGTTTGCATCCCAATTTAACCATTTCTCTATCTCGAATCATCACTTCCATTAAACGGTTCACTTAAAAAGTGTTTTATTTTAGAAAGAGGTAAGTAAGCAATTCAGGGAAGTTACCTCTAATCATTTAATTCAGAAGTCTTATGATCTTTGTCAAACTTCACATAAATTACCAAGTAAATGCACACTAAGCTAAATATATGAAAAGCACAAAAAGATTGTAGTCAAGTATTCTTGTATTGTGTGGACCAAGTAAACAATCTCTTCCCGTAAATCAATTTAGGGGGGAGAAAGCTCACTTGGTTAAAAGTAATAATTTTCAGCCAATCAGATTTGAGGGGGAGGGTTCTCATGCTGGATGGAGCGAATGCTGGAAAAATTTGAACCAATCAAAATCGCTAGCCGTTCCTATTGGCTAAATGCCTTTCTCACAAGTTCGAAGTCAAAATTAACAGAAAATTATATTACATTAAATATACTAGATGCAGATATAATAGGTGCAGGTATAACAAATTTAGTTTTTTGTTCTTCCATTTTTTTTGTAAATTGGTATCATAAAAATTATTAAATTTGTTCCAATCCGCCTTCGATCCGGCATTAATTTCATTCATCTGCTTATAATATATTCGGTCAATATTAACACTAATGGCCTGGTTTTATTTGATTGCATTTAGATTTTTGCGATTTCTCCGGACCTATTGTGTTGCTGATACCACTCAAAGATTGATATTTCTGGGAAAAAGTGAAAACTTTTAAATTTCTTGTTTCAGGATCGATGTTGACAACGTAGCTCTGAAGGCGAAACTCAATGAAGCGGAGGTGAGTCATATCCATCCATAAAATAATCTGGAGACTCTAAATTCAATGAACACCTAGAAACGTTTCTTTTCTGATCATTTTCTTTTGATGCGTATTCATAGGTTCCAAAACATAAAATCAGTCCCATAGGATCCAAAATAAAAAAAAGGTCGCATAATTTCCACATCGGCTCTAAATTTCGTATAGTGTCCATGGCAAGCTCGCAACACGTTGGCGCGGCTGCGGCGGTCACTATTCTGCAGCTTGAGTTTGTACTATTTGAACAGTAAACAATCAATCCATAAATTCGTTGGCTCAAATTTCAACCAATCAGAATTCAAGAAGATAAATTTTGGAACTTATGCGACTGATTTTTTATTTTGGTACCTATGAATATTGGAACCTATGGGAATTCACCTTTGTTTTAGATAAAGCATGGTCTGATTTGCAAAAAAAAGTTGAAACAGATTATATGCAAAAAAAAATGTCTTTTCAACTCTTTTTCGCTGACTGCTTAGCCCGAGACGCTACTTAAATTTTCTCGACAATACATTTTTGTCTTCTGCAGATTGCAGCTCAGGCTGAGAGAGAAGGCAACGTAGCCGAACAGAAACGTCTGCAGGGCAAAGCACTGACATATGGGGCCACGATCCAGCTGGAGCACCAGTTCTCCCACCGGTTCATCCACGTGAACACGAACAAGACTTCGAGGACATCCTCGAGCGACATGATGGTGGAGTTGCTGCCTCACAGTGCTAAAAGCGCACACTTCAAAATCATGCCCAGATACAAAGTGAAGTCGGAGGGAGATGTGGTAAGTGTTGTTGCGAGCGAAACCCACTTTAAAACATTATTACAATTTTTAGTTTTTTTTCAGAAATATTTACGATTAGTAACAGAGACAGTATGTTTTATGCAGCCGCAGTTCGCGAACACAAAGTCATGTTCCAGAGAGTATTGCGCAGTTTTTAAAAAAAGGTCAATCGCGCGATAGCAACAATCGCTCTTCCTCAGGGATTCGACCACCTGCCGACCCAAAGGGTCCCCCCTTTGGTGCTTTTTAAGAAATCCATTTTTGGCCGACCGACCCTAAAGTTTTTCTAAAGGCGCCTTTGACGCCAATATATACTATTTTTTGAGGTGGAGCGCGCGCCAAAAAACGCGATTTTTTTGTCAACATTTTTCAAAAAAGCCCAAAAAGGGCTTTTTTGACCTGTTTTTTCAAAAATTTGCCTGCAGCGCAGAAAATTTGGCCAAAACAGTCTTTTTAGTGCTTTAGGAGAGCTCGGAAAATCAAATTGGTCAGCTTAAAAAAAGGTCGTCAAAATTTTCGAACTTTTTTTGAAAATCCCCCCCCCCCCCTCGAGAAAATCCTAGATCCGCCCCTGTTGGCGCTGAAGGTGCTTCGAATTTTTTGGGTGGTTCGAATAGTGCAAAAATAAGGACTATTTTTCAAAATGTGTAGGTATTTTTTCGCAAAAACGAAATGGTTCTTGGAAAGTATTGCTGGCGAATTTTTTCCCCAATTTTAGGTGCGCTATGACGACCAAGTGGTGCTTGAGAGCGTGAAGAGCTTAGGCCAGTATCTCAAAGTCAGCGCCCTTCCCCTCAAACGACTCATCAGCCCCGAGGCCGGAAAGTGAGTTCGCTCAAGTTACATGCCTCACAATAAAACAGAGGTCGAAACTTCATCTATCAATTTTTTTTTTCGATTTAGAAAGTAGGTAGTTTTCTAAGCTAATGGCATAAAGATCATTAAATTTAATGTGCTTCTTCAATATATTTTAAAATAATTTCAGAGCCAAAAGCTTATGGAAAACATTTTTTTTGATTGGACAAGTGTTATTACTCTAGAATGGAAGTCAACTTGTCAGTACGGCAATCGGGTCTGAAGATTTACCAGTTCTCAAAGGCAGACGACTCACGGCACAAATATTTGGTGGTAGGCAAAATCACTTGATATCCACATCTATTAGTGAAAAAAGGCAAAAAGCGAGGACCTTATAAAGTTTCCTTATCTTTGGTTTGGTTTTCAGGGTGGTTCCATTGTGCGATTGTTTCATAAGGAGCTGGAAGCATACGTTGTTGCTGAGGGACTATTTGATTGGTCAGACACCCAAGGAAGTATGTTCACGCCGCGCAAATGCGGTTTAATATCATTTGTTTTTGAAATGGACTGAAAATTTTAGATAGTTTTTCTGAATATTATGCGGCATATCGCTGTTTTGAGTGACAAATTGGCCTCCTCAACTGACGAGCATTAACTATCTTGTCTCTAAGATGCTCTATCAAACGAAACGTTAATCAACACATTCTAAATTGATCTGAACTGCAGCTTATGCTCATGTCGTTTCAGTACACCTTAGGGTGCGAGAGATAGACCCCTCCGCTCCTAAGACCATGTCCCCATCATCTAGTGCCATCACCTACTGGCAACTAGAGCTGGAGGAGGGACCACTGCGAGGTATGTATTGATCCTGTTCTTCAAACTTTTTATTCTGAACTAATTCTACAAAACAGTTCTCTATTTTTTTGACCTATTACCTCAACAACTTGGAAAATTGAAAATGGAAAACAAAAATACAAAATCGAAAGACAATTATTGTTTTCGGTTTTTTTAGGTGATCCAATCAAGTGGGAGAGCCAGCTTCGCTTCCGCAACATGGTCACCCGCAAGTATCTCACAATTGCACCCGACCGCAGTTTCTTCATGACCAGGAGCGGAAAGGATCCCAATACAGTGTGGCGAGTGACTCCAGTTATCGGAGAGGATCTCTATCTAGATGGGGACTCCTATGCCAGATTCGAGCATGTGGTGACTGGATTGTGGATGCATGCTATGTCAAGTAAGTTGCAATGCGAAACTTTCTGAGTCATTGCTGATTTACATTTTCAAAACAATTTCAGACGATTTCATGAAGAAGGGGCGTGGCGCTGCTGTGTCGCGAGGCGGGAAAAGAGGGAAAGGAGGTAAGAGCAGCATGTCTGACCTGGAGTGGGACGATGCCCAGTGCAAGATGTTGGGAACAAGTGAGAGCATGCAGTATGATGACGCGTTCACACTCCAAGTGGTAACACATCAGTCTAACACATATGCCTGGAACACAAAAACCAGAACTTAATAGTTGACACCATGCCCTCTTTTAGAGAAAATAGAGAAGCCACTCTTGTATGTATTTTTGAGTCCGAAACTAAATTACATGATTAGTACGATTCCAGGTGTCAGAAGATCTGCAAAGGGCGTTCAATTTCGTGGCCGGCTGTGTCCCCCTACTGCAGAAGTTCGTGCAGGAAAAGAGCGATAAGTCAGGTGGGGTGCAGTTGAACGAGGAGGCGTGTGTCAGAGTGTGTAGTCTGCTGGACAGTCTAACGGAGTCCATGTTTGAGCATGGTATTATAAAAAAATACAGACAGAAACTGCTGCGGAACTTGATGGTAATTTACAGAGATTACAAACTTATTCTCAATACTCTGAAAGTCCAGGTCGGCCAACCGACCAGGGGCGGATTCAGTGCTTTGGGAGAGCTCGAAAAATCAATTTGGTCGACCTAAAAAAAAAAAAAAGGTCGTCAAAATTTTGGAAAAGTTTTCGAAAACCCGCCCCCCCCCCTCTCGAGAAAATCCTAGATCCGCCCCTGCAACCGACCAAAATTATTTTACAAACGTTTGCTTGAACAGCCGTTTTTGAGCTTTTTAAATAACAATAGTTTTTGTTTTAATTTTTGTGTGGGTGCTATCGTATCATCGTTGGCATGCGAACACGGATTACTGTAATTATGTCAAAACACTTCGGCTTTTTCCTAGGAAGGATTTTTTGGACATTGGACAAGGAATCTGATTTCTTTTTTCTTTAGTTGAACTATATTATGCTTGGCTGTAATTGTCTCCTCCTAAATTTGAGCTCACTTTTGTGATGTGCAGGTTGTGGAGTTGATAATTGCGATGTTGCGACTGGACCTGGCCAATGCTGCCGACCACCACTTCCTCACCCGTATCTTCGTCAGGTGCTACGAAGTCCTCTTCACATACCTTCTGGGGGACAGCAGGAAGAACGAGTTGTACATTGCAGGACACATGGAGTTCTTCCTCACTCAGATCAGCTTCCCTGTTAGTACAAGAAAGAATGAAGAACATTCTAGAAAAAAAAACAGACGTTCAAAGGTGGTAGCTGAAAACTCACATTGAATTTTGAATGTGCTTAGTTCTACTTTTTCCTGAATTATTTTTTCTTATACTAGTTTCAACGTAGTTATTTTGGCTGGCCGAAGTTTGGTGTTGTGGGTAAAATTGAGAATCGTAAGACCTTGAAACAATAAAATTAATTCCAAACTAGAGGTGTAATCAGAAAATCAGTTCGGATTCCAAGAGAGTTTTTTTCTGGGCTTTTTTCTTACCTCCATATCTTAGGGCATAAAAATTTGTTTATTGAATATGCAGGGTGAGGTTGGGATTGAGGCGACCACAATGGTGACTGAATTGATCAGAGACAACCGACAGATAGTAGAGAGGATGCAGAGCCATCACATCGACGCATTTATACAGCTACTCTTTAAAAACCAGGTGAGGCTGATTACATCATTAAATCTTCGAATTGGTAGCCATTCATTAAAAATTTCTTCAGATGTGCCTTTGGAGCTGACTACAATATCTTCGAGGGAAATCATTTGCATGTCGAAAATCGTACTAAGAATTGAAACTTGTGTGCCTAGCTCAAAACTTCACCTGACTGAAAAACTGATAGATTTTTTGTGTATTTCAGGAAAGCTCGGATAGTTTCAACGATCGGCTTAGGTTAACGGAATTTTCTCTTGAACATCAGCCTTACGTCACGAAAATATTTAAATCTTACTAAATCTTAAGCGGCCCCAATTTTTTTTACTTCTTTTTACATGATTTTCTATCGATCTAAGTTCCATTTCTATATGTAAAAATTTTTTGCTTCAGAACTACAGATATTTGGATTTGCTCAATGTGTTGTGCGTGTGTGACGGCGTGGCCATTTCAGACAACCAGAACTACATCTGCAAAAAATGGCTAGTCGAGACCCTCGAAACCAATCAGGTAATTGACTGTGCGACAAGATTCACATGTCGCGTAACCCTCTGAAGTTTTAAGAGAGTTTAAAGCAATTGAGCCATAAGAGAGAGAGGACAAAATTACGAGCTGTTCAGATCTTCTGCGGTGTCTCCCCTGCTTATAAAACACATGCAGTTTTTGGCTATTTTTCCGGGTTGGTATTGTTGCCTCACCCACGAGCAACGAGCACGGCTCATTATGGGCCTTAACCACCCGGTCTTTTGATTGAGATGCGGAGACGTAACCACTTCACCACAACTTCCACATGACCTCAACTCGCATAGTGAAGCACAAAAGGAATCCCATGATGAACAGATTATTTCCAGAGATCATACTTTTGTATATTAGGTCGTTCGTCGTTGCTTTTATAGAATATTTGTATCTCATTCATTAGAGGTAAGAAATGTAGCGCTAAAAAACACGCGAATGTTTTAAAGTGACAATAAACGAAATTCAATTTAATTTATAGCATCAATTAAGCCCCCCCCCCACCAAAAAAATAGCATGGTTGTTACTCTAACATTGTATCGGAAAACCAAAAAAAAATGGTTTTGTTTTTGTACCATAACATTTACGACAAAGACAATGGATACTCAAAATCTATGGCGGCTTAAAGGCCATGTACGTAAAAGTTTATGAGGTTAGCTGGTCTGAATGCCAATTAGTACAAAATTTACCAAGGAAGAATCAAACTTGATTAAACATATTTTCAAATTTCAAGTTTTCTCATCGTTTCTTACTAGTTTTAAACCTTAAAAAATAACATTCGAAAATACTTCTTTTTGCCTGTGCTAAAAAATATAAAATCTTAGGATTACAGCAGGACAAAATTTTTCTCGTAAAAAGGAAATTCGCATGCAAAGAGATAAATCTTTAAGTAAATTCAGTATGCGTTGTGAAAAGATGATTCGAAAACATAGCAGCACTTTTAAGTTTTCGTCAGTCAATTTTTTAACGAAATTGATAGAATAAGGCAAAGACGACCGGTTGATGCGCAACTAGCACAGAATATGAGGTGAAAGTAATGAGATGATGAGGTGATCAAGTAATGGTTAAATGGGTGGTATTTTATGGCCCGTTAGTAAAGTTTGTATGTTTGTAAGTTTGTAAATCAGTATTAGACTTTACGGACCAAAGAAAATCGTCTGCTACCGGTGGAGGAGGGAGAGAGAAAAAATTAAATGCAACTAGCGCGACCAAGTAAAATTTAAACGCGACCGGATTACTGCGACCAAAACACACACACACACACACACACACATATATATATATATATATATATATATATATATATATATATATATATATATATATATATATATATACCAGCAAATTTAAGGGAGCAGGGGGGGGGGAGCGGACGCCCCTTCCCCTTTTTTCAGGGATTCAAACCCCTGTTGACCCTTTATACTATCTTGGGAGAACTATTTTTGGCGACGGACCCTAAAAGTTTTCTAAGGGCGCCAAAAAAACTGAATTCGTTGGTCAAAATTTTCCAAAAAGTGCCTAAAAACGCATTTTTTTGCCTTTTTTTTTAAATTTTGCCTGCGTGATATTATGGATGAGTGCTGCAATTAATATATGTTAGCCTTTTAGTGGTTTCTGCATAAATTTTTTGATAGATCAAGGGGTTGCTTAACGCAAAGTTTCATTTTTCTAATTGAGTTTTTTCCCCTCATTTGTGTGCTTTTCTATTTTTGTGAAACTTAGAGCTTGCGAAATTTGATTTTGCATCCTTAGAAACTACGTTTTTTCCAAATATCGATTTTTTTAATCAAATATCGATAATTTTTTCAACTTTCGATTGAGATCATAGCTTTGAAGTCCTCATGTTTTCTATCCAAATAAATGAGACTCAATTTCAGAATTTACCGCAACTAACATTCAGACTATCGCGACCAAAAGTCAAAATATCTGAACTTAATCCGCTGCTGTAAAATCTGCCAAAACCATAAATTTTTAAAATAATCCAATTAATTTTGAGTCACTTGTGAAACCTTGTTCAGAAAAAAAATGCAGTAAAATGGTTTGACAAAACAAAAATCCATTTTTTAAAATCTTTTCGGCAAATAATTTCATCTGCTTGAATGAAGCTTGAATGGCTAAATAGCCAATCAAACTCAACCACATTAATTTCAATCCTAGAGATATGAAAATAATGAAATTGGGCCGTTTAGTGCATACCAGTATCCAGTTTCAAGCGTTAATAATCGATTAAATTACTATTTTAGTAGCAGTCTTACTAAAGTTGAGAAACAATCGATTTAAATCAATTAATAATTGATTATAATCTCTCTTTTTTAATTATAATCCATTATAATCGATTGTCATTTCGTCAATTTTTCGATACAATTATAATAAATTATATTCGATTGTGATCCATTATTTTTACTCAAATTTCTATTTCATTAGTTTTGCACAAAAATGCATTATAATCGATTATAAATGATTCTAAGTGCTCTTTGTAGGAACTATAATCATTTATAATCGATTATAAGATTTTATAATCTCTTGGAAATTATCACGTCGATAATCATTTATAAATCCTTTAAACACCTAATTTTGGTAAAAGTAATCAATTATAATTGTCAAAAAATCATCATAATAATCCGTTATAATCGATTATTTACACCTAAACTTGGATGCGGGTAAGACCCACAACATTTCCTACATGCAAATAGCTGTGTGAACAAACAATTTTTAAACAAAATTAATGTGTAATTTTATGGGATATTGTGAGAAACTGGAAAAGAACCCAGATTTCTACAAACTGCTGAATATTACCACTTCAAGAAAATCCCATTGTGTCCAAGCGCATTTAAGATTAACGGTGAGGTTAGGGGGTGAGAACTTTTTTAATGAAATTTTGTCGCCGTTTTCAAAAGATTCAAATTGCTTTTTCGAGCTCTCTCAAGACTATATCTATACTTAGATTAGTTGGGAAAGAAATAAAAGAACCATGTATCGTACGGGACTCGAACCGGGATGTCTTCAGAATGGAATCTTAAATGATACCCCTACACCAACGATGCTTATTAGTTACTAGCTAGTAGTTTTTTCATATAAAAGCTAGCTTGTGTAGATTTTCATTTTTGCTGCTTCATGTTTTGGCTGTCATGGTCTTTAAAACAACAAGCGGGGGCAGCTATGCGTAGTTTTAGATGATTTTTAATCAGATTCCAGATGCGATAATAATTCAGTATTTCCATGAGGTTCATACGGTTGTTTTTAGTCCTGTTGTTTCCTGACTGAGACGGGAGCCCGTCTGAACCGGAGAACTAAGAAGCAGAGCCATGACAAGAGCATGACTTATGTCTCCACCAACAATGGCGCCTCATGGAAGTCACTGATTGAGATGATCAACGAAGGAGACACGGAGAGGCTCATGTTTCTCACTCACCAGTTGGACTTGTTCGAAAAGCTGTCCTTCGTACGTGCCCCATTTGCTCGGTGCTCAGTTAAACCATCACTGCTAAAAAAATCTTTGAATATTTTTGAGTTTTATTTATACCACACAGAAACCAACCGCAAAATTAACTTAAAAAATTTTGAGGCAGTGGTTAATTGTGATTGAAAACAGGTTTGGCAAGTTTTTTTTTCCACAGGGCTATTAAAACAATAAAAAGGATTTTTTAATAAATTTTTATGCCATAGGGGGGCAAATTGCAGTTTTGGGAAAATTTTAGATAGCTTAGCCGTTGCTACTGCATCGTTTTTTGGCTCGCACTCTCAATTCAAAATGAGCAGAGAAAATTGGGATAGTGGGCCAAAAACTGTTAAACAGGGGCAGCGAGGTCCCGAACGTCCCTCATACGACTTATAATTTATATTTGCTCCTATTTTTGAGCATGTAACCGTCGTCTTTTTTGTTTTTTCAAATTCAACGATTTTCGATATTAGAGACTGAGCAACTCGGCGCAAACTGTTCGTACCACACCGATTTAATTGTAGGGCAGGAATGAGTACTGCAACAAGATCATCACCACCACTCTGGACTACCTGACGTGGGAGGAGGCATTCATGTGCATGAGTGACGAGAGACTTCCGCCTGACCTCAGGGCCAAGTACTGTTCCATCATCATAGGTGAGGAGGATTTAAGCATACTATACTGAAACCAACGACTTTATCACCTGAAAATTTTTGAAACGTCTTCAGTCCTTCAGTTCTTGTTTCGACTACGACACGAAGTGACTGGAAGAAACTATGACGTAGCGTTGGTTTTTTCTTGTGTTGTATAATATCTAAGTCTTATTGGTCTTTACTCGGATTCCAAAATAGAATTTTGAAAAAATTATTTCAGTTCGAGAAAAGTAAAACCAACTTATAGCAAATGGATCCGAAAGTTGGTTTTCCGCCCAGTTTTTTTTCGCTCATTAACAAATTTGAGTATAACTAGTTCTTGAAATTATAATTTAATGGCAAAGATCTTTAAGGTTTCAGCTGCCCCGAAATCAATCATTGAAAATGTTTATTATGAAAGATTAAACTCTTGGCAGTGTTGTTCGTGGACTTCGGGGAGAACTACTCCGTGGTGGATCGGGTGCAACTGACGTTCGTCTACTCCGAACTGGAGGGTCTGAAGAGGCCAAAAACAGCCAGGGATGCTGCCAGGGTCCAAGAGAGGCCATTGAGTGAGTCGGAAGACGCAGACGCAGTGTCAATTGACTCTGTTGACAGTAACAGGGTAAATACTGTTATGAGTTATGACCGAGTTGGTTAACTCATAGAGTAATTTCGGATAGGGTACACCGTCTGCTCGTCACGCTATCTTATTTTCGGCCGGATAGATTCGTGCAACTTCTTAGTCTAATACCGATCCTAATCTTACTCTTATACTATCTAGTCTCAGGTTGTTTAACTAGTCTCTGCTAGGCTCAATAGATCTAGGGTATACTGGTTTATTGCGGCTGCTGAAGTGCTCGGGAGAGTCCAACTAATTTCTAAGTTAAATTCAAATCTCTCTAGTGCTGAAATTACAAGTAACTTCAGCACTTACAAATAAGTGGGTTGTTAGTTAGATGGATCATGATTGGTTAATATTAAATACTTTACATTGGTAAAATATCTAATTTATCCAATCATAAAATGTAGTTTAGATCAGGTTCCACCCATCCGGGTTTTACAGAGTTTTTTAGAATAGTTCTTCTGCAATTCGAAGGATGGATGATGGACGTTGGTTTTTGGCGAACATCATATTTCTTCTGTTTCCTCTTTGTTAAAGAAGTTCCAGGAAGCTGGAGTTAGAGACGTAAGACGTTGTGTCTTCTAGTGACAACGACTAAGTCTTTGCAACAAACTCAAATCTGATTTCAGAATGGTTTGCTATGTCAGGTTTTTCTGTTCTGCGTGGAGAACTTCTTTTGTGTCTGATCTAGTTTGGGAATGGCGTGGAGATTGTGCGTGGAGGGGATGCCTGGTTACTCGGATCTGTACGTATACTTGAACATCGAGGTGGTCATTGGTCTAGTTCAATGAAGTCCTTTTCTGCGAAGTCAAGTCGTACTCTAAATCCTTTGAGTTGTGATTGTGAGTGGCATATCGATTGTGGTTGGTCATTCTCTCTCGAGTGTAGTGGGGTCGTTTTGTCTTTAGATGTTCGTCCTTGGTGTTGTATTCTGATCTATGTATTGCACAATGTAATTTACATTTTATAAAACATTTATTAGTTTAATATTTTTTAATTATGATTTTTGTTAGTTGTTTTCACAAAAGCTTTTTGTTTTAGTTCGGTTATTTTGAAGAGTTACTCACACTTGAGTAGCTCTTATTAAAAATAGAGGTGTGGTCACAAAGCGTGGATGTAGCGCGGTGGGTTAGGCCGGCTATAGAGCATGCTCAGGACGTCCTTCCTGGTGGGTTAGGCCAGGAGTGGGAGTATGATTTCATGCGGTTTTTGTGAGGGGTCCTGTTATGTGACAACGTTTTATGTTGGGTTTGTTGTGGTTTTTCTTATGTTTTGTTGGTTGTGTCCTTTTTTCAAAAAGCAAATTGTTCGTGGTATGGGTTTGTCTTTCGACTTTTTTGTGTTTTATTATTTCTTTCTTAGACTTTATAATAGTCTTCAAAAGAATAAATTATCCAGTTTTAAACTGGGTTAATCCGGTTTGGGTACCGTTGGTTTCCTTTTCTTAGTCATGCTGTTATGCTTTGTGTTGTGGTGTTTAGTAAGCTGCATTGGTTAGTTTTGTTTAGTATATAATTCCTTTCCAACCGGGTTAAAGGAAATATTGAAACTTGTTATCGTGTGTTAGAGTTGTTGAGTGTGAAAACTTGAAACTGAAATTCATTATTTTAAACAATTCTTCGTGGGCGAGCTGTGCGAGTGTGGATAGAATTTCTGTGCGAATGAATGAAAATACCAAAAGGTTAGTACTGCATTTGCATTTTATTAAATTTCTGCATAGAATTTGGAAATTTACTGCTAGTTATGGGGGAATTTTTTAAGTTACAAATTTTCATCATAATTAGATTTACTGCTTGTGGGGGAAATTTTATAAATGAATTTACTGCATTGATATTAAATTTATAAATGTATAAGTGTAACTGATTAATAGAATTTTTAAAATTGTTTGATGAAATTTGCGATTTTTTTTGTCTTTTGTGGTTTTTGTAGGTGATTGTCGGATGAAGGCTAAAAATCTAAAGAAAACATGGATAAAGTATGGTGAGTTTTTTAATATTTTAATTAGTTAGTAATATTCATTTAATTCATACTTACCTGTTAGTCGTCGGGGAAAAAACCGTGGGGGAAAATGTCGTGAATTAGTTCTGAAGTTGTTAGTAGTTTAGCTAAGATGCGGATGATATTTTTAGTCTGAAGCAGTGGCCAAAGCAATTGAAGTGCCTTAATGGTGGTTAGTTCTTCAGTGCCAACTGCAAACTCATAAGGTGTGTTTTGGATTAGATTATATAATTTGTGATTGAATTTAGTGTTGTGGATGAATTCTAAAATTGGGATTTCTATGGGTTGTACAAACTCGTGCGGGATAAGGAAGGGTCGGGATTCTTCGGCGTTGAAGGTCTTGGTGATGGGACAGAAGATGTACATTTGGGTTATGGGGTCATAATTACGAAGAATACCATGGAGGTTAGTGTCTTTAATACAATATGTGAAATTTAGGAAAAATGGTGAAGTGTATTTGGAATTAATGAATTGAAAACGATGGTGTGGTTGTCTAGAGGGTGTGTGTAGGTCAAAGTGATTTTGGATGAAGCGATAATAACTATATGTGTGGGTTTGTTTAGTGCGCAACATAATATCGTGTGAGCAGTGCAGATCTCTTTCGTGTGGTGCAAGAAAATGAAAGGTTAGTGAAAATATTTGGAAGCGTTCTTTAAAACTTTCGTATGCTTGTGTGTCTGTTAGTGCTTCTGAAATAATGTGATCAAACTTTCGGTCGAAGATGTTTAGTGTAAATATATATGGTGTCTTGATGAAAAATTTCTCGGTAATTTGTGGATTAGCGAAGCGATCGTCGTCTAAGAATTGATCTTGGTTAGCTCTGATGATGTTGTGATCATAGTATTCGAGTGTATATTCGTTAGCTCTAGGTGCAGTGTGTGTTTTTAGTGATTTTTTATATCCAACGTAAGTAAATTGTCTAGCGGTTAGTGGTGTAGTGAGTCGATATAGCATGTCCGTATTTCGCTCTATATCGATGTGAGTGTTAGATAAAGGTAAGCAAAGAGGGTTAGTGAAATGATAATATGAGGTCCAAGAGAGAGTGGGCATTAAAACGTATTCATCTACAAAGTTGCGTGTTTCGTTAGTGTCATGGGGGGTGTTTAAGGTGTATTGTGGGAATGAGGGTAAGGTGATGGCTAAAAATTCTTTTGTGTTAGTGTGCTTGGGGTGGTTGATGTATTCACGGGCTGTTCCTGGTTTTGCTGGGAAAGGATGGTTGGGGAACTTTCTTTTAAAAGTGCGGTAAGCTCTATTAGTGTTGAGTGAAGATTCAGTTGATGTGGATGATGGTGCTAATGATTCAGTATAATTTGAAGAGGGTGTAGGGGTAGGGGGGTTGGATGAATTTATAGTGGAGGAGATTTGGTTTATGGTTGGGGTATGGAGGTGGTAGGGTTGTTGTTGAAGGGTAATAAAATTATCTAGCTCTGGGGAGATTCGGGGGGTATCTGGAGAATGAGATGATTGGTCAGAATGGTATGAGGAGTAGGTTGGGGTAACTTGGGAAGCATAAGAGGGTGTGGGAGTAATGGGGTCAGGGTTATTGGATAATATGGGTTGAAAAGGGGGTTGAGAAAAATTAGAAGAGTTATGAAAATTATTGGATGGGGATGGTTCTGAGTCGGCAAATTCATCGGGGGTTTCAATATTCGGGTTATTGAGTTGTGAGATGGAATATAAAACTGAGATGTGTGAATTAGTGTCGGAATTCATGCCTGATGTTACATTACTAGATGGAAAATCGGGTGGCGGAAAAGCAAAAAGTGGTATTATTGGGATTGTAGAGGTAAGATTGGTTGGGTGGGAATTTGATCGGTGTAGTGATCCAAGTTGGCGGCTCATCGTGGGCTAAAAAAATGATTATTTTGAGACTGAAAAGCGGTGGTATGGGGTTGTTCAATAATTTGTTCATAAGTATTATCATCTTGTGACTGGTGTGTCATTATATGTTGGATGGGACTTTGTGATGTGGTGAGTCGAAAATTTGGATTATGTGTGATGGCTAAATTTCGAAAATTTCGTGGGACTAGGGATAGTGGATGGTTATTTGGTAGGGGTGGTAATTGTGGTGCCGTTGGCGTTATGTCTACATTGTTATGTTCTTCGTCGTATGTATTTTGTCGTGTTGCTATTTTTGTGTTATATTCTTTTATTTGTGCGTCTAAAAGAATTTTGTTTATAGATGTAGAAAAGATTCCAAAAAATCCTGCAAATAGTATGCGTGCTACACTTGCTTGTCGATTGACTTGTGTGTGTATAGCACATGTGTTGTAGATTCCTTTTAAAAGTGAGAAAAGAAATCCAATAAAGTTAAACATTGCGTATAAAATAGTCAATTTTTCTAAGATGTAGTAGGGCCATCCTAGAAAATCGAGGATCTCATTTTTGAGTGTAACAAAGCTAAAAATGTTAATTGGTGATATATCTTGGGGACGGTATTTTTCACCGTTTAGATATATATAATCTTTAATGTCTTTAAAATATCCGCTATAGTCTTGCGTGTAGATATCGGCAAATCCTGCGGTTTCTGCAAGTTTGCGTAAATTTTGGTCTATTGATTGTCTTTGTATAGTGTCCATTTGTGTTAATAATTCTTGGAATTGTTGTGTTCTAATGTGATGTTGAATATCTGATTTTGAATAGATTCCTATTGATTGTAAGTCTATATTTGGGTTTCGAGCAATAGCGCGAATGCTTTCTGGTGAAAATTTTTTGAGTGATTGCATTAATGTGGGATATGGAGTGAGAAGATAATATTTATTTTCATCAGGGTTTAGTTGTACTACATTGTGGCTGTTTTCTGATCCACATGGGACTGCGGTATCCCAGAAATAGGTTCTTCGTGAAAGTGTATCCACGAAATGTACTTTATTCTTATAAAAGATAGGGATTCTTTTATAACATCGTTTATCTTCAAAAACGTATAGTGGTGATACTTTTTTAGTACAAGTATAAAACCATAAGATGTTTCCTTCATAGTCTAAAAAATTTGATCTATT